CGCATATAAAAATTCCTTCGATGCGGCTGGATTCGAACCAACGTCTTCCAGCAAACCGTGACAAGAGCTATTCCAACTAAGCCATGGAAAGAACCAGCAGACCTTACCAATTTTTCTATGTTGGTTGCAGATTTTTGTTTTGGTTTTTTAACGACTTTATTGCCGACTCTCTCGCGCCCCTTTGAATTGAAGGTTTGTAAACCTTTGGGAACCTCAACCCGGAATAGGCCAGAGTGGCCAACTATTACTTATACCAGTATCGGTCAAACTTCAGCCCGCAGGCCTACTCCGGCCCGCCAAAGTTTCTTCTAAAGTAGGAAGTATAGCCCTAAGAAGTATATTTTGACAGCATCGTTAACATTGACATATAAAATAACATATTATTAAATATAGTAACATTCACACAAAATCATCGAGTATGTATACAACCAGAAACAGAAATGAAATGTCATTTAATTTGTTTCAAAACTATTCTGCCATATCATTACGGTAACTGCGCTCCGACTGGCCAGCCACAATTCGAAACAATTGACGGGTGTCGTCAATTGTTTCACTTCAAATCACCAGTTTAACTTGAACTGTTTCTGTCTGTTGTAATTAGATGTTTTGATGTTTTTCCCACACCTCCGAATAGAACAGCCCTCGTTGCTAGAGATATTATCTTTATTACAATAAATACAGAATATTTTTGGAATATACGGAGACGTACACACAGGTCGGTTGTTGACACTGTACTATTTCAGCTTTCTAATTTGTGATTTCAGCGCAAACGAGAGTTGATATTTAAAAGGACATTTACCTGATGCGTCGTTCGACTCTATTTCTGGTTATATACTCGATGCACAAAATCATAGTTTTAGTATATAGGTACCCATAGATTGGCAATGCAAGTGAAAGAGCGTTAGTATACACGTATGTTAGAGCGAGATGGGTAGACGAGACCACTTCATTATACGCTATGAGCCTGTATGAACCTAGGGTCAGCTGACAACGAAACAAATTTCGTTTATTTTTGAAAAATAATTGGTTTTAAAATGTGAAATAGTGTTAAACGGACGTTCATTAGTCATGGTAACGTGTTCAGTGCCCAGATGTAACTCATCTAAAAAGGAAAACTCGCAGAATTGTACATTTCACATGTAAGTACTATTTAAATTTTTAGCTGTCTAAAAGCACTACCACAAAAGTTTTTTACATAAATATATCCGTAAAATTATACCATTTAAGTGCATTAATAACCCAAATGTATAGGAATTCAATTAAAAACTATATCAAATACGTGAATTTCTGAAATTCATAACCCCACTTTCATAGAGATTGACGCAATCGATAATATGTTATCGAGATGTCATTAACTGAATAAAATAAAGGCACAGGCGTGGCTTGCACACAGCCGAAATCATCTTCATACTTAACTTAATATTATTGAATCAGAAATTTCTGGTTTTAGTTCTGTATATTTATTTAATATTGCATTAGTGCATTATTTTTTGTCTACATTAAAAAAAAATTTCTTTTAATGGCGTAGTTGAGGCACCCATTTTTTTATGTTAATTGTTGTTAATTCAGATTTCCTTAAAACATTGTAGTACGACAGACATGGCTTATAATGCTAAAGAGAGAAGACTGGGTTCCCAAAAAGTTTTCAAAAATATGCAGCAAACACTTTGAGGAAAAATGCTTTTCCTTTAGAGGCAAGCGAAGAGTAAAGCTACGCTCTGGTTCTGTAGTCCACTAGCGGTTCCTCTTTAACAGTCTTATAATGAATTTTTGTATGAGGGGTCCTCATGTGCTTCCAAAGGCCTGCTCTGTTTAGACGCACCTTCTGTTAACGCCGCTTCCTGTTTAACGAACAGTGAGATGGGTCGCAGGGCCAGCATCGCTTCGAGTGTCGCAGTTGGAGTTGTCCTCATGCAGCCAATCGTCGCCATGCAGGCTAGTCTTTGGAATTTGTCCAGCTTGTCGGTTGCGGTCGTCAGCTTGGTTCGTGGCCACCATACTATCGCGCCATAACTGATCATGGGTCTTATCACCGTTTTGTAGAGCCATAGTGTTATCTTGGGTGAAAGTCCCCATTGTTTACCTACCATCCTATGGCAATGCCAGAAGGTGATAGTAGTTTCTTAATTTTGTATTGAATCATTAAATAATTAGTTAATTAACGTCTCGGCGTTTTGCGATAAGACATTTTAATTTTAATATATTAATCGATATTAAAGTTAAATCAGTGGATGGCGCAACACTATTTATCTTGCACACATGCACATTATACGTACACAGATATATTTTTGTTTTGGGCTCGCCTCCAATACTTCAGGGCCAATCTATGGATATACTAAATCTATGCACAAAACACAATAATACTACCATCATAATAATAATTAAATTTATGACAAAGGAAAATGCATTCTTTATTTTTAATTCTGGCTCCCTGTGAAATTTCTTATGTTTTTCTGGTCTCTAATGAAAAAAGTTTGCCGACCTCTAGCCTATACCCTATTTTTGCAATGGGACATGTTAATGGTTTCACTTCAAGAATAACGTTAGTAGACCTTTTTAACCGACTTTAAAAACGGAGGAGGTACTCAATTCGTCTGTATTTTTTTATGTTTGTTACCCGATTACTCCAATATTGATGATTCTTTTTTTGTTGGAAAGCTGTCCCATTCAAACAAAAGTTCCACCTCTTAGGGGATGAATCCGGTTTATTGAATTTCATCCACTTTCCGTTAACCGATTTCAATAAAACTTGGCAAATAGATATAATTCCAGTGAAACTAAAACACAGCGAAAACGGATAAGCAAACTTTCAGGTCGATTTTTTATAAAAAAACATTATAATTATAGATCAACAAGAGTTGTTCAAATGGCCACCTCGGTGGTTGCGAGGGGATGCGAATCCGTTCTTACATCCAATGCAGCTGCCTGCCTATTTTCGCACATGGAACATACGAAAAAAGCGACGACTCCGCAAAAATAGACCTGTACCACATTCCACTCTGGCAGTCGAGGCCATGACAGCAATGATGTAAGACAAAAAAAGTTTTTTTGTTTTTGAACAAAGCATTTAATTAGCCTTTAAAATAGTACAATATAGAACGTAACCGTAACGCACTTAATAAATTTTTTTATCGTATCAAGTGACGAGACGAATAGGTCGCGTTCCTTCCCAAAACAGTTGCAGTTGCAAGGATTAAGGGCTCTGCCACTGCACCCGTCACCCTGAGACATAAACTTGACAAGTCGAAGTAGTCGACACGCCATTTACTCCGAGTCGTAGTCGGCAGACTACTTCCCCTTGAACAAAGCGCACCCAGTCGCTTTTGTCGACTTCGGCTGCAAACTACCGTCGTCAGACGATTGACTACGCCGGGTAGCTTGTAGCCTTCGGCGGGCAAGCGATGGTCGTCAGACGACTTGGTGTAAATGCGCCAGTGCCCTTCAAAACCGGATCGTAATAATGCTCACACTACTGTGGCAGAAATAACTACGGCGGCAGTACTTTCCTGGATAAACTCTTTCATAAGAAGCTCTACTGCTACTAACAATTAATGTAACACTATAGTCCTAGAATAAAGTGTTGGCTGGCAGCGGGAATACCATTCATTCATGTTATAGCCAGTGTTTCCATGGCAGCACCATTATATCCGGATTTATGGCTTCATTTTTGGTCGAAAAACTATTGCAGCCAATTTTTGATAATTATTTTGCTCCGACTGTTGTATTATATGTTTTGTATTATAACTTGGTAAAGAATCAAAAGATAAGATTTTAGTAAATGGAATTTGAAACAGCTCCGACTGTTGTGGCGGTCGAGCTGGGATTGACCGTGGTACGAAAACAAAATGAGAAAGTGAAGGAAGATGGAACAATTCAAATTTAAAATTTAAATACATGTAAAATAAAAAAATGATAGGATACAAGCGGAGACAGGCGATACAAAAAGGTGAGACGACGGTGTATGAAGGTCACACCGTCACAAGTTTAGCAGGTGATTGGACTCCGTTATCGTAAAACAGCGTTACAGATCTTCGGACTTTCACAATTACACCTTATCTATTACTGCCGCCAAGCCGTAATATGAGCATTACTGCGTTCCGGATTTGAAGGGTACGGCTGATGGTTAAATTACAGGCACATGGGACTTGTCAACTTAAGTCTCAAGGTGACAGGTGCAGTAGCCGTGTCCCTCTGCTATGGACATGGTGCAATGCCATGGACAGGCGAAGTGTTATTAAAAAACCGTTTCTTTTTCTAAGGTGAAAAAAAAAACAAAAAAAAATCTTTTTTTTTCTGGAGTATGTACATTTTGTTTCTAAAAGTATGAAAATAAATATATGACAATATGACAATTGTATTTTTTACTACATTTTCTCTTTTTTTGTTAATATTATTCTTCATGGATAAATTGCTCAAAATTAATGGACAACACTCATATTCCCCAAATTGCGGGAAATTTCAACTCGATTGGGCATTTTGTGGGATTGATGCTATGTGGGGAAAATGCGGGGATTCTAACATTTTACCTTTTTTTAAAATCTATCGATTACTGTTGCGTCGCTACTTTGATGATTACTGATAAAAACACTTCTTTTTTTTTCTTTTTTTTATCTAAGATAAAATTTTTATTTATCTAAGAGCGATATCAATATTTTTTTCCACATCGCACATATCCCTTGTATAGCCACATTTACATATAATTATAGTCATAGTCATAATCTTTATTGCATCAATGTTGTAGTTCATGGTGTTCTAGAGCTAGTGACGGTTCTCAACATTAGCCCTGTAAGGGCATTGCAATAACATAAGAATAAAATTTAAAATGTCAAAATGAAATGAATTTAGTAAATTACAAATTAATAAATGGAACACATAAATGTCTTATTGAATAATGAATGAAACATATAAAATTACAAACATTCTCTTATGCTAATTACCTTCTAAAAATTCATTAACGTCTTATGGGCATTTTGCTATAAGGAATTCCTTTAACTTTTATAAAATATTATATCTTTTTCTATATTTTTTATTTCCACTGGTAACTTATTATATATTTTTATTGACATATGGTATGTTCCTGAACTAACTATGTGTAATCTGGTGAGGGGTAAAGCCAATTTATTTCTATTTCTTAAGCTACGTGTTTGAAAGTCTTCTGTTCGTTGATATAAATGTTTGTTTTTCCGTACTAATTTACACATTTCGAATATATAAATGGAAGCAAGAGTGAAAATCTTGTATTTAATGAAATGAGGTCTACAACTTTCTTTATCTGTAATATTCACCAATATACGAATACATCGTTTTTGTAAAACAAATAATTTATTTACCTCAGTGCTGTTTCCCCATAAAATAATGCCGTAGCTCAACCAAGCATTGGCGTATGCATAATAAGCGATCTTTGCTGTTTTTAGATCTGTACATTTATTTTTTTATTAGCAAACCTATAAAATTATTCGGTAGGATTTGAATGAAGGAAACGAAGACACAGAAAATTTCGATGACATTACAAGTGTAAGTAACACCTGTAACAGTAGTGACACTAGTAACACCACAAATGAAGATTACATTTTTGTTATAATTATCATGGTAATTCATTTTTATATATTTATAAAATATATATTTACAAAAGTTAGTGTCTTATTTTATTTCAGTTATTCCATTTTACTTTTTCGGAAAAAAACCAAATTTAGAAAAAAACATGGCGCTGTTGTTTTTTCATGTTTTTTTTTTCAAAAATGTGAAAAATACATTTGATTTTTTTTCAAGTTACAACACTAGACAGGCGTGTTGCTTAACATCAACTTGTTTGTCCCGTCACTAGACATTATAAAAAAAAAGTAAATGTCTACTCAGCGTGTGGTTTTCACCATGATCGTCATTTACACGCTTCGAAACCAATACTACACAACACACGTGTTTGCTCTAAATTGTCTCTACAAACCAAATATTTAGTTTCAGGGACACCGAACTAGAAGTCCATGAATGTCCAGCGGTATGTCACCTGGTCCTTCCGCCCGTGAAAATAAAACCAAAAAAGGTGCTGGAAGAAAGTCCTTGGAAAGACATAGCATCTATACCTTGTGAAAAAGACTCGTTGAATGAATTGTCCATGTATAAAAAATTTCTTGCCAGTTTTCAACGCATGCTGATTAAATGATTGTGTTGATTGAAGGTGGTATCTTCGAGTTTGCCATAACACCTGTCGCTCATAGAGACTGAACTTTCACCCGCATCGCTTTTTCACATACCTCTTTCCTGTTAAGAACAATCTTATTCTGGTTCAGGTGTGCACAACTGCACACCCAGGTCGATCTTTCTATCTTTTTATTTTAGTCACTGTACTCAGTAAAATTTAGCTTCATTACAATGACAGGTTGGCAGGGTTCAGATGACGTAAATTTGTAGCAGCGTCCTTATATACAAATTATATATTTTTGAACATCATCTTCAACCCATTTATACGTCTAGTGAGACGGCTGGGCACGGGTCTCCTTTCAGACGAGGGTTCCGGCCATAGTCCGCCACGCTGGCCCGATGCGGGTTGGGGACTTTCTTTACCGAAAAGCTCATGATAAATTAAAATTGAATTTCGCACGTAAATTCCGAGAAATCAGAGGTGTGCGGCCGGTTTCGAACCCACGACCTGCTTGAGAGGCAGTAGGTCAAACCATTAGGCTAGCACGACTTATTTTTGCTATATTTTTAACCGACTTCAAAAAAGGAGGAGGTTCTCAATTCGACTGTATGTTCTTTTTTTTTCTTTTTTTTTTGTATGTATGTTACGCGATAACTCCGGTATTTGTGAACCGATTTTCATGATTGTTGGAAAGGGGGTATTTCCATATATGGAATAATGGGACCACCATTTCATTTTGAAGAAAATCATCCACAAAGGGTGGTTGTTCACGCATGAAGATTCATTTTTATAAATAGCGCCTAACTTTAATTTAGGAGCAATTACTTTTAGCAATTATTTAGTTGATTTTGCTATTTCTCCAATTCAAGACGTGTTTCTCTCGATATACTTTGAGTAGTGTCGTAGTGAGAACCTATTTTTATTATCTCCAGTGTCAAGTCCTGTATAGTGGCGAACTAGGGGATATTTCAATGAAACTTAGCAAATAGGCGTAATTCCACGTACGTTTGAGGTCGGTTTTTTTAGTACTCTGTACTGAGATTATTGAACATACTAAACAATAATTGTTTTACACAAAGACTTTAATCTACAGAGCATAGATTATCGTTGGTTTTGCATATTATGTACGTTACTACCCATGAAAATACGGTAATTGAAATTCCACAATTATCATTGATACATTAAAAACAATAGATAATTAGTGTATTTTAATTAACGTCTTTGTATTGTCAATAACATCATAATAGTGTATCATTGAGATCCGGTTGTGGGTACATGGTAAACTATAAGTACAGGTCCAACCTACTTTAGGCATCAGCCTTCCATTACCTTCCACGAACAATAAATTAGTTGTATTATTTGTATTTGTATACGTCACGGTCGGAGTTAATTCGGTAAAAAATATTGTTGATTTTGAGGATGTTAACATTAAACTTGGTTCTCTCTGTTGCATACCTCACGTTAATTTTTTTAATTATATTGAAGCATACAGCCAAATCATTGACTTACAAATAAATGGACGTCCGTTCTAATACAAAAACCACGAAAAAATGTCCCAAGTCAACCTATTTAAACGTAGTGACATGTAAAGGAATATGAAAAAGCTAAAACGTTGAATTTAAATTGTAATGTCATCACAGTACTGTCTAATTTTGCTTGCTTCGCTGTCAGTCGAACAAACAGGCTAAAGCGTGAATGACGCTCTGTATACGATTTTAACGCCCTATAAGTTCGGACACTTTTTAGCGCGGACCCGACGTCCGTATAATTGTAAGTCGATGAGTCAAATATAAAAATAGAACTATAATTTTGAAAACCAATGCCTAAAAAGAATGACACGACGACTAAAGGTACGATTCAGGTCGCCAATAGTTAATTTCCACAACTTAAAACGACAATGTTACGTCTGACAGAAGAAAGTTTATGTTGGAATACAAAAAGTCGATCAACCTCATCCAGTCGAGAAGTGGTGTAATGACGGTATTTTTTTAAATATTTCGTGTTTTGAGCTACTTTGTACTATTTTCGGATAAATTGTATATTTTTCGTGAATTTTTATCCAAGTGCACCAACATATTAGTTATGTATCCTCGGTGACAGCTTTCGCCTTTTATTGCGTAATGGTGCAAGGTCCGCAAACACTACGCAATTAATTAATGGATTATATGATTTCAGTTACTACCATTGTAAAACTTCATTAGTTTATTATGTCATATAGTTAGGTCGAAACATTTTGATATCGATTCTCGATTTCACTGTTAGTGTCGCATCGCATCACTGGTTCATGAAGATCATTGACATAATAATATGATAATATAGAGCGCCCGCCCATTGGGCCACTAGTGGCGGCCACTAGACGCGACCACAAGTTACGGACGAAATTTTTTATACATTTTATATGGCGTCGGCGCAAAGTGGGCGTTCGAGTGGCCGCGTCCGAGCCACAAGCTGCGGACGTAGCAGACGCTCGCGCGCACACTTGATCACAGTCACCAGCTTCTACCCGTACGCCATTAACGGAATTTCATGAATGTTTACTGGGCAAAAATGTGGGTTTAGCGAGAAATAAACATTTAACGACTTGTATCGTCTTTTTGACCCGTATATTTCAAAAAAATATAAATATCGTGATCTGTCATAGTAAATATACAGTTAAAAATAATATTATGTTCGTATGTGCGACCCAGCGCGACCTCATACAGCCACTAGTAGCCGCTCAGTGGGCGGAAGCACTTAATAATCTAATTTCTTTTCTTATTTTTCTTAGCTTTTCGCAGTTACTTTATGATATATATATATAATCCATCACACAACTTAAATTCAAAATACATACTGTATATACTAGGTTTATAACACGCTTCTTAAGCGCGTTCCCAGTATGTCGTGACGACAGGATAGCCGTGCAGTTTAAAGTGTCGTGACTTGTATATTTAAATGAAGTTGTTCACATATAGTACACAACACGATTAACTGTCGTTCACGACCTTTTTGACATTACGACGCCAGACTGTCGAGACAATGGGAAGAGCTAGAACGACAGTCATCCGACGATAAATAAAACGTCACGATAAAAATGCGGTGACAGATAATAGCAGCTACTATTGACGTCACGTTTCATTTATCGTTCTATGCACTGATAAATTGTCGTCACGATCTAGTGGGAATAGCTAGACACGACGAGTCGTTCAACGATAAAATAAACGTCCACAACACAGTCACGACAGATAGTCGTGATACGGGAACAACCTAAAAGCGACAGTTGTTCAACGATAAGTAAAACGTTACGACATAATAGGAACGCGCCCTTTAACCGTTTTAAGCATTTATGTATGTATTAAACTAATTAACCTGATCTCCAATTATTTTACTTAAAGCAATCTGTTAGTAAGCAGTCTATAAGTTACTAAGCCCAAGAAACAACAACTAGATGTGATCCCAGAAATTTAAGAATTTATTCAGTCGTTACACATATCCATAGCATGGTAATGTTATTTAATATGTTTGTACCAAATGTGTACTCTGGTAGAACGTCTTCAACATTATAGGTTAACCTTCCCATGATCCGAACTCGCACCTGCACACCAAAGGACCGCGGCAACGCAGTCGCGTCCTCAGCGGAGCACGGATCAATGCATATTTATAATAAGAAATGGGCGGAACTAGTGTGTGGCTTTTGATATACGTTGGCCGTGTGAAGAAACCTGTAAAATCACGGACCGTGAGAGGTTACCTTAAAAAGTTTTTTTTCGATATCCAACTTTTATTGTGAGAATTAATCTTTTTTTAGATTTAATATTAAACTTGACTATTGTTTGACAATTCACCTGTCACATAATTATGGGGACTTAGAAGTATTTACCTTTTTTTAAAATTTTATAAATAACATTGAATTATGATAAATCTATGTATTCTGCGTGGTGAAAAGAAAAAACTAACTGCACGATATATTACTCACGAAATCCTGTGATGTCTGGATTCAATTTATGGGATTATGTTCATAGTGAAATTAGTGAGGTAAGTGCACCCTTCACGAATAAAAGCAGAGTCCTCGAACCCACAACATTGTTATCCATAGACGTTAACGTGAGTACTTAAGAATTAGTACTGCGAAAAACGCGGCGCATACCCCTCACTCAGTGATTCTGTTGATCCTAACGCAGCTTCCCTATGGCTTCGTAGAATTCCCGGAAAGGCCCCGAATTATGTGTTGATTATGGTTATTTTACGTATCATATAGGATCAATAAGACGTCAAGCTGGACCTTTAAGATTTAAATTGTAAGACACGGCTATCCTTAACACTTGCAGTGCTTCTCAGAGCTTTAAATCGCAAAGATCTGAGTCTGCCATTGCCACTGCGTCTGTCACGCTGAGACATAAATTGACAAGTCCAAAGTGTAATTTCACCAGCACCATTACCCTTTCAAACCAGGACGCAGTAATGCTCAGTACTGCTTGGCGGCAGAAGAGAGGCAAGGTGGCAGTACTTCCTTGGACGAACTTATTTTTGAAGATGCGAATATACATTTTACAAAAACTCGATTTTCTCAAAACTTACTCGGATTGAGATAGCGCTTTTCGGTTTATTCTGAGCAGATTTGCTCTTGGCTGTACCTAATATTACAGCCATGAAAACATCTTATTTTATGAGACAAATAAATACGAAAAGTAGTACAGATTACTTTGTCATTATCCAAATGTGAATTTTATTCCAGTTGATAGACTGGTCAAAATGCGGCGACTCTTGTGCGAGCATAATTCCAACTGTACTATGGGCGATAGGCGCAGGACTGCTAGCTCATCGTTTGCTTTCTGCGCTTTTCAGAAGGTTCCTTTTCAGAAGAGTTCCACTCTGGGAAATTGTACTTCAGGTAATAATATTAACCGTGCTCTTTATTAAATTGATAAATTTCATTGATTTTATAAGGCTCCATTGAGTTTTTAGATTCCGTCTTATACTACAACAGCGGTTCTTTGAAACTTGCGCGCCTTTCAAATATATATGTATAAAATAATGTGCGCAACAGTAAAGAAGTTAAGAAGGCGACTTTTGCTATCACAGATTCTTTTGGTTACTAGGCAAGGCTTAGTTACCAGTAGTAGTACTGATTGGTGAACTCAGCAGCACGCATGTGGGCTGCTTTGTTGACGGAATTTGTGTAAACAACATTAGCCATGCCGATGACATGGTGCTGCTGGCGCCATCGATCATTGCATTGAGAAAACTAATTGGAGTATGTGAGTGACATGCAACATCCTATGGCTTGTTATATAAATTTCGGAGTTTATGATCTTTGGAGCCGCCGGTAGGAAGAGTCCTACGTGTGCACTTCCTGTACTACTTAATGGTTCTCCGTTAAAAAGGGTTAGCCACTTTAAATACTTGGGACACTATGTTACCGACGACCTCAAGGATGACCTGGATATACAGCGCGAACGGTGAGAGCAAACATGCTTGCCCGCAGGTTCGCCTGACGTACATCTGCAGATAACATTGTTTAAAGCTTACTGCATACCAATGTACGCTAGCGATCTGTGGAATAGCTACACTCAGTGCTCTCGGAACGCTCTGTGCGTGCAATACAACAACGCCTTCAGGACGCTGTTGGGGCTGTCACGTTTCTGCAGTGCCTCAGCCATGTGCCTCAGCCATGTTCACTGACGCGCGCGTAGATAGTTTTACGGCTGTTGTACGTAAAAAGTCGGCGTCGCTCCTGAAGAGAATACGTGACAGCCCCAATAGCCTCCTGAAGACAGTTGCTGACAGGAATTAGTGCCCAATTATGCGGCATTTAATAAATAATACAAAGTCCCTGGTAAAATATAATTACTAATATAGTTTTAAGTCTGTACCTACTAACATTTGATTTGATCTCAGTTGTCTCAATAAATAAATTTTGTTATTATTATATTAGTTAGAATAAAGAGTTCTAATACGTAAAAGCGTCGAACTTGCTTCAAGATTTAATGATTTGTTAAACAAATTGCTATTTTTGCTGCAAATGTTTGACACATCTTTTGGAACATTTTCAAATCCAGATCTCAATTACACCAATATTTCTTTAAATCGAAACTTACATGCAGTGTTACCTGTGGTTTGGCAAATCTTAGTGCATTTAGAAAATCGGCAAAATGGCAAAAACTACCATATCAGTCGAAGATATACACCAAACATGAGTCACCGGAGGATAAGCGGAAAAAACTGTTTTGTTGGTTCAAATGGTTTAGGTATTTACTATTAAATAACGGCCTTACAAAAAAGATACGATACGTTAAGACGTACTTTATCCGATCATATAAAATCCCGAAAACACGCTAAAATAAAAATTAAAAACAAATTTATGAACAATTTCTCTGATTTTGCACATGACTTTTATATGGAGATATTTCCCTTTTGAGTCTTTTTTTTTATAAAAAGTAAGTGCGCATTTGACCTCCATCTCACCTAGTCGAAAGTTACGATGAGGTCGGCGATGTAGCATGCACACCTAAATAATGCCTATTCACTCTCGCCTTGAAAAGGTCCAAGTTATAACTTTCAGGGAAGTTTGCAGGCAGGGAATTCCACTCCATAGCCGTTCGCCATATAAACGTGGAAGCAAAACGCTTCGTAAACGATTGGACTTGTGCTTGGTATAGCTGAAGCAACTGTCCCAGTATGAAGAAATACCTCACCTTGGAAAGGATGTCAAGCTTCCTGGCTGCATTTTTGGCAGCATAGATTCAATGTATCTGCCGAAGTTGAGATTGGACGACAGGTCCATTCCAAGTAGCTGGAGACGGTCGGCTATCGGTATGGATATATCACGAAAAGTCGGTGTCAGAAGGGTCTCCGTTTTGTGGAGAACAGACACGCCTGCGTTTTGGTAGCATTAAATTTGACAAGGCTAGCATCGCTCCAATCGGAGACTGTCTTGTCAAATTCGAATGACTAACCATGGCCACTCGACAAGACTGCAGAGAACCAGCTAATTTTGGTTTTCAACTGAAGCCCTGTAGTTATTAAATTCACATTTATCACAAAACTTGAAAAATTGCCGCACCGCCAGCTGCCCCACCAGTCGCCATCAGGCGCTTGTCAACGTCGGATCTGCGTCAAATTCTCTCCGCTTGTTCTCATTTTATTCATATAAATTTTAATCGTGCGGATTACGGGGCCTGAGGGGCGGTCCCCGACACCTCACCTCCTAAAATCCAGGCTCACGTGCAAATACCTCGCTTTAAGGGAAACAAAACATGAGTAATATATGACTTTGTAGTAACATTTGAATGTGGTCTTCTTCGTATGTTATCATTTCGAAACCAAGACTCTCACTTCCGCTTCTTCGCTTATTACGTCACCAAAGTTTATACCAGGGTTGATGCTGATGCAGGTATACATATCAGTGGATGCTGATGCGGACGCTGATTTTAAGTATTTAAAAAAACGCGAATGTGGTTACTGAATCCAATCTACATGAAAAAGCTTGCTATAAGTTACATTTAAAATTTCGATTTGAAATCTGTTTCTGGAAGGTTTGTAAATTATTTCAGCATGCCTTTTAGGTCATGTCACGACTCTAAAATCCGCAATGAATATCAGCATCGATGAATGCGGATACAGATGCGGTTGCTTTTTGGCAACAACCCTAGTTTATACCATTTCGCAGCAAAGTTAGTCCTCTGTTACAAAGTTTAACGCATTTACATATTTAAAAACCTATTCTTTAACTATGGTTCATTTAGGGGTTCCATAAATGTAAGCTGACAATGTTAATAATACTTGAATTGAGACTACAAGCTGCGATGCAGCGTTTACAACAGATTAGCAACAAGTGTATAAAATAACATGGTCCCCAACTGAACTAGACCCATACAATAATTAGGATATAATAAATACATACTGTTTCACCTTTCAATGTTTGTTTCAGAATCTACTGTTCATCTGGATGGTGATTTATAGTATCCACTTCTGGAATTTACTCGTCAAAATATTAAAAGTCTTAATCACGTTCTTTTATGACGATGTAAGTTCGCAGCTCATGGCCCCCGAATGGAATTTAAATGTATAGTTTCTACCTATAGAGAACCTTCCACAGGGAAATCATAATTTTGAAATGTTCTATAGGTATATCAGTTGTACTAAGAAAGTACAAGCATAGATCTCAGCTTTTTTTTCTCATGTCAACTGCCTACCCCAAATTCGGGGACAATTTGCCAAGATCGAGCTTAATAACATGGACGACATTTTGGGAGTATGCTATTGGGGATTGAGGTATTCTTGGCGAACAACGAGGCCACAACATCGCAGCCACGACTTGCTAACTTATTTTCCAAAAAAAACAGTCGGTTGCGTATAGAAACAAGGAATATCACTGCTAACTCGCAGTGTCCTCCCGCTAAGTATGTAAACGTCTACGACATCAGTCCATGACCTTTCACAAAAAAAAAACTATACATATTTTGATGAAAGAAATCGCAAGTCTATGAGATAGCACTGTCACAATTAACTTTAGTATCATTTTCAGTAAAAGATATCCTATAACATGTAGAGAAGTTGTGTCAAACTCTAAAGTTTGAAAACGGCCATCATTGATTGGCGCCAGAAACTTCTACATGTTTTGTAGTAGAATTAAACTGTCACATTTAGGCTGATGGCTTAGCCAAAGTCTCAATATATTAAAAAAAAGTAAACTTTTTTGTCCTTCGGGACAGGCTCAGGCGTCTAAGCCATACTGCCAGATTTTTTTAGATGTGTTTTTCGTTGCAGGTTTAGTTTGTTTTTTTATCAAGGTGATTAAAATAGGCAGCGAAACTTATACATACAGCATTACAAAAATCCTTTATAAAGAAAAACCAAGAAATTTATAATATAACTAACAAATAACTGTTCCAGGACAGTATGTCAACGGAAGAAACGGAGACGCGCAAGATGATGTTACAATGGGTGATCTGGATGTGTGGGATGTTACCATTGGCTTTCTACATCCACACGCAGCCAAGACCTGAAAACCCCCCACTAATGATATGGTCAGTTTTTCTCCAACCAGCCACATTCCAAAGCACCAAAATGATAATTACTTCCATGATGGTAGTTCTGGCCATAAGGTATGATGTGGTGAAACAGAGCTCGTGAGACAATGGGATAAGTTACTGGATCTGTAAACTAGTAATTGTTTAGGTGACTTCTCTTCATTTGTATACAAGGTGTGGCGGTCTAAGGATAGCAATACCTAATTCGGTAGTAGCCGAGTGAGCGAACGGTTGCTTCCTCATTGAAAGACCAACGGTTGAAATCCCTGTGGCGATATGTGCTTATACTGTCATTTCAATTACGTGCAATTGTTGTTGTTTACTGGCAATTCCTCTCCCTGACGATTCGAAGAAGATTCACTACCCTTGAAACACGTGTAAAGTCCCCGACCGCATTAGGCCTCCATGGTCTAAGCCCTCTCCTTAAAACGAACTAGTACATATTTATAGCCTAAGCGTTATACATTACGACGTTACGTTCATTATTCACTTAAACTGCACACGTGTCATCCCCAAATTAGAGACCATGAAAAAAATAATAAAAATCATATTAACCACCAGTAAGTGTAGTAGGCAATATAAAAATAATACCTACTACTGTTACTGGTGATCGGGTTCTTGGTTTCTAGGTTCTTTCCCGGACTGAAGGATTACGACATCCACCACAATTATAGACACAGGATTCTAAATATATTATGTCTTACGGTCGGCAACGCGTTTTTTTTTAATATAAAATGGGAGGCAAACGAGCAGCCCCATATCTTACTAAGTTATTTTTGATTATAGTGACCCTCCCTACTTACCCTGAGGGCCATACGAGAAGGGCACTATGACCTGTGCAAGCGAGCTCGCACAGGGACCATCTAGTCATGTCCTAACCCCGGGTCACGTTTACACGTACTTCATCCGGTTCTCTGTAAGGCTAGTGCCTTAGGTGAGGCGCCCCGGGTGCGCGTACAGCACCCTCCCTATTTTCCAGATAGGTACCGGAGCTGTAGGCACGCTCACTTCCCGTCGCGCTCCGCACGACTAACGGTTGCCACCACTGAGCCGCCGGCTCTGAGCCGGCTACCAAATCTCCTCACTGGTGGCGGAGCTTAAAGCACGCTCACTTCCCGACACCGAATGAACGGCGTCTCTCCAGTTCCCAGATTCCTACGCGGCCAGAGGGACTGGAATATATCTAGCTCATCCTCTATTAGCTCTCCGGGCTAGTGCCGGAGATGCCAAGTGGCAGTGTCCTGCGATAATGTCCGGACATAGCCACCACTTAAAGGGTAACTTACGTCACTGGCGCATCTCCTCGCCTCAGGCCTTCAACTAGACCGCTACTAAGACGCGCTTGCCGCGCACGGGACGAACGCCCCGGTCATACCCTACCGGGACAGACGAACGTGTTCATCCCTACAGCTAGTCACAAACCCCAACGAGTCCATACCCAAGTCCGGGTCCGTCAGAGACGCCCGTGAAGACGTATAACTGGCGGAGGGCTTGACCCAGACGCCCGCCGTACCCTGGTCTTGCCGTTAAGCCAATAGTCTCTCCGGAAAACCCTATCTTTCGGATCAGTAGGTAGGCAAACGAGCAGACGAGCTACTTGATGGAAAGTGGTCATTGTCGCCCAAGGACGTTTGCAACATCAGAGGAGCTACCTATGCTAAAACCCTGTTGACCCGTTTTTTGCAGAACCCTACGACATAGCGCAAAGGAAATACTTCAGGAGGGAGATCATTCCACATCTTACAGGTTACAGGAAGGAGCGAACGTGATGCTCGCGAGGTCTCACACTGCCAGGTATCAAGGATGTGGGAATGGCTCTACTCCTTTAGCGGGAGGGGCCATAATGAAAACATCATGGCCGTAATGGCCGGTCACACCAGTTGCTTTTGCCATTGGTCACCCCTTTTCTATTAGTGGGACCGTCTCGCAATTTGCTGATCTTTTGTTTGCCCGCAGGATAACGACAAGTCCCTGGATGCGCCGCGAAATGGGGCCATACGGATATTATTTGAACCGACCACTGTCGTCTCTCCAGTCGTCCACGAACGTCGCCAACAGACGCCAAGTGCTGACCCTGCGGCGCGCCTTCTCAGACTCGAAAGTCGTGCTCAAAGAGCCCGCCAAAAAGAAACGTCACTCAAAGTCTGTATAACCCAAAACGTAGTGTAATAAATATGTGGCAGTTCTATGGTTGTTTTATTTTGTCATCCCTAAATTAAATTTGGACTTGCTCCAACGAAATATACCACATCATATTAGACAACATCACATATTCGGCCCCGAGTCCAAAGTAAGTAACTAAAGCACTTGTGGTATGGAAATCGGAAACAACGATGGTACCACAACAGCCAGATCCGAGATATTATAGAAAAGTTTTCTACACGAAACCGGAGTGCAAGCCGCTCAATCAACAAAGGTCGCCAAATACGACGATAATTTAGGTTTTCTTTTACTTATAAGAGCAGTAAAGCAGCAGAACCGGTAAAGGGAAATCTGCACGTGGAAGAAGGTAAACGTGTGAGGTCTTCAACCCGGATAAGGCCACCGTGGCGTCGTATGGCCCACGAGCCCACACGACGCGCTGTTTTCTGTACCATTCCTTCCCTGCACATCTGGCACACCCCGGGCACCAATCAACACGTACCTTACACCGATTCGCAAATCCTTTTACCCCGATTAAGCAAGCATTATGGTGGCACTTCATATGGCTATTTGTATGAGTGTTTGGTATATTTGGCAAACAATAACCATGTGTAGATAGCATGTGTGACAAAATATTTGCCTTGTTTGCCTATTCGACAAATATCTTCTTCTTCTTAGTCGTTGCTGAAGGTCGTCTCTCCGAATGGTTTTCGACACTGGATTTTTTTATTCTGGATTTGGATCTGGTTTTGTCTTCGGCCTCTCTCAGGGCAGTTGTTGTAGGGAGGCCAATGAGGGCACATGGTCACTCCATCGGCTAGGTGATGGGCCATGGAGTCACTTTCCCTCCACTTTACCCACCACAACCAGTTTGTCAAGATTGTCTGATTGTCGGCGAGCAATATGAACCAAAATACTGTATGGTAGCACATTGTGGAAAGTCTGTCTGCGATATGAAACTGCTCAATTATGGATTGGTTTGTCCTTCTAGCGGTCCACAGTATACGGAGCATCCTCGACAAATATAACAAACACCTAACTCGCGTTACCGCGCACTGGTCGGTTTCTCGACGCACGTTAACCAAATATGCAAATACGCAACTAAACCGTCTACCCTATGGTCATATTCATTATTTTAACTCCTTATTGTGGCTCAAAATGTAGCCGGCCATATTTGTCAGTGTTTACATGTTTATCTGTACGTGAAATATTTTTCCAAGTACATCAAACACCCAATAGCGAATACAAATAGCCATGTGAAGTACCGCCATTACAGTGTATGCCATCGACTTGAAAACAAGATGAAGAAGAGGAGACCCGTGCCCAGCAGTAGGATGTATAATGGGTTCACGATAATGATGATGACGATGAATGTTTTTACCCGAGTACCAATAATAAATTAGTATTTAGTTTCGAGAACGGTGACCAAAGAGTGATCGAGCGAATAAGTGGTGTGTTAATTCGGATTCTACAATAATTTGGCGTGTCATAATCTACACTTAAACAGCGTAAGTAAAAAAAAAAGCTTGGTTTGTTAAACGGTGCGCAACCATGCCAAGGTTTTATTGATATTTTATCAGCTGTACAATTTTATCGCATACGTACATCGCTACGTTAAAATACGTAATAAGGCCAATATTTTTTATATTATCACCCGATTAATATAACCACAAAGGAATATTGATTAAGCAAATTCGAAAAAAATAAATTAAATTATTTGGAGAATCAAATTTTTGAAAACCGAAAGAATATGTAACATTTTGTTCTTTGTTTTTTGCTAATAGTAACATTGGTATTTAATTTAACCGAGCTTGACAATAGATGTCACTGTACAGTTTTTGTAAATTTCTAAATGGCGGTGTTAAGATTTTCCCTGTCGAGTATATATAATAAGTCAACGTCGTATATGACATACTAACCTTGCGTAGGGTATACCGTGATCAAGAAGGCGGTTGCCTCAGGCTGGTGCCGGCCATTGCACTGCGGCAGGACTAGGCCAGTCTGTGACTATTCCGTATTGGGGTACGTCGTACGCATAATTTTTGCTAGTCGGGACTTGCGTACTGCGCGGTCCCTTGAGAAATGTATGGCGTGTACGAACTTAAAATTTCTTTTGTCATATCCTGAACAGTAACTATAGTGTAAATATTGCTGTGATCCAGTATCTCTAGAGATGCTACGGACGAGGTACCTGAAGGAAAAGGTATGGAAATGAACCCTTTCATCTCTAAAATACTTACAACTTAAAATTACCTCACACACAAAAAAAATGCTGTACTATCAATATAAAATATTCGATGTATGTAAATTGTCAGTACCACAGACTAAATAAATACTCAGTACGTCGTCGACAGTTCTCTAGAGTGTAAAGTTCTTTAAACAAGTTTAAAGAGATAAACTAACGTCACAGTACATTTATGAAAATGTTATTTATGTTAAGAAAAATATTAAATTTTTATGAAATATAATGACAGACATAACATTAATATGAGGAATAAAAATAAACTAGCTGTTCTTGAGAAACGTCTCCATAAAATCTCCAGTCCGATTTAAAACTATCGTGAAACAAAAACTGTATACTGAAGGTTACGCGTATTTGGATGACGAAAATTCGTAGTAGTGACCCGTTTAACTATTGCAGGTATATTTACAAAGAGCAACCCCCAGAATTTCTTGCTGATTCTTCTCAGGGGAACCTGCCTTTCGAATGAGCAGTGTAATCAGTACAGTTCACTCATTTGGGGTAACTCTACGGATGCTAATAGAGTTACGCTAATGCAAAAACGTTACTGTACGAATATTGGATCTCGCCACTCCGCCGCGCCGCCGGTCATTTGCGAAGTCCCCCGACGTATGACACTTGCAGAAAAAATCCGCGGAACCCACTTACTGTGAACATTTATGCGCCAGCTGAAAGACCTTTATACTCTGTACAATGAATTTATGGTACTTAAAATGTAACGCTAAGTATTTTCTATTAAATTAATATTGTTTTTTATCGAATTGACGTACTAATTTGATTACGTAATTTAATGACAACAATATTATTTGAATGAATTGTAAATTTTATAAATATTGTGTATTTTCATTTTATTATTTTTATGTTTGTTTGTATGTAGTGCAACTAATACTGCAATGTTATATGTATTTGAGGTATAAACGAATCTGTATCTATGATGATTTCAAATGTAATTTGCTTACCTATAAAATAAAGATTATTTGACTATACTACACTGAAAGTATTTGAATATCGCGTTGTATAGCTCATATAGCGAAATGGAGTTCCCCGTACTATCTTATTCCAATAATTTAAATTTACGATAAACGCTTTTACTGTCGTTGAACGGGTAAGGGGATAGAATATAAAGTAATATTCACAGCAATTAAGTAAAATTGTAGTGCTAATATTAATCGAATGTAACATTTGATCTCTATTAGTTATTTGAAAATTTTAAGTAAGTATTTTTATATATTATATTCAGTCACAAGCCATTTTGTCAAAATTCCTTGTAACAATTTCATTCGTTTGGTAATTTATTGAGAGTAAATAAACACACATGTGGAAGCAGATATTCTTTTAAATTAGTTTATGGCCACGAGTATGGCATAAAAGATTCACATCTATAGCCTTTTTTAACCGATTTATAATAAATAATCCCAGTACAGAATACTAAAAAAACCGACCTCAAAAGTACGTGGAATTACGACTATTTGCTAAGTTTTATTGAAATATCCGCTAGTTCGCCACTATACGGGACTTGACACAGGAGATAATAAAAACCGGTTCTCACTACTCAAAATATATTGAGAGAGAAAAACGCCTTGACTTGGAGAATAGCAAAACCAACCATTAAAATAATTGCTCCTTAAGTAAAATTTAGGCGCTATTTATAAAAATGAATGTTCATGCGTGATCAGCCACCCTTAGAGGTGGATGTTTTTCTTCAAAATGAAATGGGCCCACTACGGAGGTACCCTCTTTCCAACAAAAAAAGAATCATGAAAATCGATTCACACATACCGGAGTTATCGCGTAACATACATAAACAGAACATACAGTCGAATTGAGAACCCCCTCCTTTTTTGAAGTCGGTTAAAAAAGTATTTTATTTAAGCTCTCAATTTGACTGTAAACTATTTCTATAAAACTTGGTAAAATAAATATAATACCACGAACTTTTGAGGTCGGTTTTTTTTCATAAAAAAGTTATACTTATTATACTTATTTATTTTTTAACGCCCAGACTCATAGCCAATCACTAGAGAAACCCTGTATCGCGGGTGCCATGGATGTACACACACATAGGCAACCACAAATTACACTCACGAGAGAAATAAATGTAGGCCATACAAATATTACTCACGGCCCGGGAATCGAACCCGGGACCTCCGCGTGGCAGTCCCGCATGGTTACCGTTCGGCCACAGAGGCCGTATTTCGTTCCACGTATACAAATTCAAATTCCGTTTGTCTTCATCTACCTATATCGTTTTTTAACAAAAAAAGGACAGACGAAGTAGAATAAGCAAGTGCAATGTTTAGAGATGTATGTACGATCTATATACTTACATTATTCCATGTTACCGATACGCTGCGACAATTTCTCCATTTTGTAATAACATCGCATTGTCAATGTCCACAAATATTCAGCAATTTTCTTCCTTGTCTGCGTCCAACAAATTGTGGCGCGACTTGCATCGCATCTACTTACATAATCTTTTAAAAATCCGTTATTTTATGCCTCGTTGCAGGCTTAGCAGGTGTGTAGACAGACAATATTTGCGGGAAACCAGTTATTATTTGTGTACAGACAAAGGTGCTATCCAAATACGGAGCTCAAATGCAAATTACCTTTATTTCATAATCATAACCAAGCAAATCTTCTTACTCATTCGTTATTATTACACAGACAACAGTTGAAAAAGAGTTCGTCCAGGGAAGTACTGCCACCTTACCTATTTCTGCCGCCAAACAGTAATGTGTTCCGGTTTAGAAGGGTAAGGGTGCTGGTGAAATTACAGGCACTTGGGACTTGTCAACTTATGTCTAGGGTGACGGGCGCAGTGACAGTGCCCCTCAGATCTTTGCGAATTAACTGAGTGGCACTGCAACTGTTATGGACAGGCGTCTAGATAACCATCACGCGCAAAACTTGTTCGTCCCGTCACTTGATATTAAAAAAAATCTTAGGGGAGTCGGGTATACAATTCGGTCTAGCTGAAACCTATTATGCGATAACAACCAAAAATATATCAATAAGCTAACCAGATCCTAATGACTCGTAGCCTGCGCGTGCGCTAGTAGCCGACTATCCATTGCGAGCCGCACGCTCGCACGTTGTTAATAATTTATAGCCCAACGACTCGGTTAATAACGGCCAAGCTATAATAATAAATAGACTCTACCATAAAAAGAAAAAAATCACACATAAATGCATAGTTTTTTATTTATTTCAACAATGTAACAATGAGTTCAGTACTAACCGAAGTCTGTAGACTGAGCGTCTGGCAAGCACGGCTGCGTGAACAAAAACACATAGTCAGCCATGTTTTATTTACAAAACTTTATAGAAAAACAGGAATCTCTTTATAAGGCTTGACAAGAAAAACAATAGTGTCGTAATAAAGTCACACAGATTTTAATGTTACACATAACTATAGATAAGTGTTAACTACAGTTATTTCTAATATTTCCATTTTCCCGGTCAAGCTTCATGTATACAAATTCTTCACATATGAATCTTGAAATGGTCTTCATGAATACTAACAAATGTTACGAGTTGGCTTCTGCTGTTGGTTTTTTCAGGGTTTTCACTTTGAAACTGCGGAGAGGGTCGCTCGCACGAGCCTGGGAAACAAGACATTTTTTAATAATATGTACCGTGGACCAAGAAATAACACAAGAAGGCTGCTAATCGCTATATAAGACAGTGTCGGGTATTTAGTACCTACTAGTACACCACATGGCGTGACGAGTACCAAACAGCTATTTTTGAAAGTAATTTGTTTTACATTGACAAGCTGCAATTGAGCAAAGCTAATCCTATGTGATTCAAACAAATCAACTAGATGGCGCTTATTGCACAAATTTTTATGAATACTGCCGGCTCTTCTTTTATTTTGTTTAGGATTAGCGCCATCTACCAATATTAGGAAGCGTTAATTTATAAATTAGTTTGTAACACACAACGCCATCTATTAACACGCATAATTGTCAAAGTATATATCTTAAGTACAGTAATTTGTATGAAAACCAAGCGTGCCACATTTTTTGTACCCACTACGACGTCACAAGAACTATTTATTGATGGGAAACCTCCTTCCGCTCTAAATCGATTGATTGAACGGAATACGCGTAAATACGCGTATTCCTCAGACCATAAATGAAACGGATGCAAAAGTTTTGTAGACGTTCGAGCTTGTTGAGCTGTTCTTCGGTTAAATCCAGATAGCAGGCATCAGCATAATCAAGAATTGGAAGAAGAAGAGTTTGGGCAAGCGCAGTTTTCGTGGCAATAGGTAAGAAATTACGTAACCGTCTGAGAGATGCGGCAGACGCAAACAATTTGCGGCTGGTCTCAACTAATTGAGGTGCCCAAGATTTATTTCTTTTTTATTTACTTATTTATTTATTTACACAACTCTATCCTTACAGGTTAGATACACCCAATTCGATAGCGTCGACATCATTCTTACATATCTAATTAATTACTTATATCTAAACTCTATTACATTACAAGATAGCTGCCTATAAATGATTATACCCAGATTTTTTACATTGTCACTAATTTTAATGTAGGTGTCGTCTATAATAACCTGCGGCAAGCGAAACCAATCATCTTGGATACCATTCTAGAGCTGCCAATAACAATCATTTGCGTTTTCGTTGCATTTAGCTTAAGACCAAATTGTTTACTCCACGTATAATACGTGCGTAATCTTAGGGCTTTTTATATGACAAATAATAAATAAATAAATAAATAATAATAAGTAAAAGGCGTGACAATAAAAAATACCTGATATTTATGTCTCTTAGCGCTGCCAAAGTTGTTATGCTTCTTCTTCTTGGCAATGGGAGCTTCCTTCTCCTGCTCATCATCCACTGCCTCTTCGTTCCTGAGCGCTGCTGGCAGCAAGTACTCCGGCACGTGGCTCAAGTGCGATTGCAGCTAAAGAAAAAGAAAAGAATATAATTATCCGGCACAGTAAACAAAGTCAACTTGTTATTTTTCAACCCCCAACGCTCTCGAGTCGTGCGCCTGGTGGTAAGCGACAAGCCTGTCCATAACATTTGCAGTGCCACTCAAAGCTTTTAATAACAGGTACTGCCACTGCGCTAGTCACCCTAAGAGTGACGTCACTATTAGTAGCAGTAGAGCTCCATGTGAATGAGTTCATCCAGGGAAGTATTGCCACCTTACCTATTTCTGCCGCCAAGCAGTAATGTCAGCATTACTACGTTCCGGTTTTGAAGGGTAAGGGTGCTGGTGAGATTACAGGCACATGTGACTTGACAACTTATGTCTCAGGGGTGGCACTGCAAATGTTACGGACAGGCGTGTAGCTTGCCATCAGGTGCACGGCTTATTCATCTAGTCACTTGGTATTATTATAAAAACAAAAAAGAAGCTCTTTTCCCAGTGAGTGTGGGATCTGTGATAAAATGAATATTATATTCACTTCTCATGCTCTAAAAGTCACGTCATTATAGCCTTACGTAGCGGGAGTAAAGTGCATCCTTTGCTCCTGGAGTAAAAAGTACCTAATTTTTTAATTTACTTCGAGTGAACAAACTCAAACAGCCAGTAGTACGCTCGGTTTTAGTTCCGTGCCTTTTCCGCATAGACGGTGGCGCCATATTATTTTCCGGCGTTAGTGCGTATGTCGTATCTACATCTAGTTGGAAAAAAAACCGCAAACATTTTAGATTTTCTGTTCGTGATTTTGTTGTAGAGCGAAAACGATTGAAATATTTTTTTTCTTGCAATCAAAATGAGAAGTAAAGTTTTCACCTCAAGATTAATCCAATATAAATCCTCGGAGTAATAGACGCCCTTGGGTGTCTAACCACCTCGGGTACATATTGGCTCATTTTAGTCCCTCGATAAAAAATATACTATTATTTTACTCCACTTATTAAATCGACTTGATTTTTTTTCCCGTTATACAATCTTGAACTTATTACCTTTACAGTGTGAAGCGCCTTGTCTCGACGTAGGGCTGTTAAGTCGTTTGGATTCTCTTCGAAGTAACCCTGAAAATATTAACTAGTTTGTATTGAAAGCTAGAGCGATGGTGAGATGTAGCGGAAGGGAAGGGTGTCAGAGAGAAGATTAGTCATTCCATCATGGGAAATATGGTTTATTATGGTTGTCATCATGTGAGATTCTTTTCATTATAGAAAATTGTCACGTCTTGTCACTATGAAGTTAGTGATTATAACCAGTATGAGAGACCTCCCACACTAGCGACTTTCAAGCGTCATCGTCTTACCAACGCACGCATTGTGCAAGACGCTGACGTTCGGAAGACGCCAGTGTGGACTCTCTGAGATTATGAAAAAAATTTCGTGTACAAGTGAATTAGATAATCGGTATACATCCATTGCAACAAGAACTCTGGAAATGTTTCTGCTCTGGATTTTTATTTATTTTTATTTGTCTGATGTGGTAGACTAATAAAGTTACTCGTACCACTTATCAACGCGGAATCGCATTAAACTGTTTAGTAAAAGCTCCATGACCATGTAAAAAGAACGAAGGAGACATTTATAGTAACGCAATTAGACTAAGTTTTTTAAATGTATGTCTTCATGAAACATGTAACTGTTGGTGCGCCTAATAAATAAATAAAGCAGACTGCGTTTCTGTTCGATTATTGTCAGCAATATTAATAAAAAATGCAACAATTCTGATAAATTAAATTTCATTAATTCACTACAATCCTACACGTAAGAATGTTACCTGTAACTTCTTGCAATTGATTAGTTCCTGTTTGATCTCTTTAAGCCGAGCCTCTCTAACCGCTATCCTGGTAACAGCTCGCCACGCGTCTCTTGATCTGTATCTGAACCCTTCCACTTCTTCTAAAGCAAACTCGTATTTTCTGAAAATATGTCTGTCTTAATACACAACATATCAAAAGCTATAGAACGCGGGTGACCTTAAATATATAGGAGAGGTCCGTGGCCTCAGCTCCGATATTATAAGTGACGTGACGAACAAGTCGCCCACCTGGTGGTAATGCCACGCCTATCCATAACAGTTTCTGTACCACTCAGTGCTTTAAATCACAAAGATCTGTACTGCCACTCGGTTAATTCGCAAAGATCTGAGGGGCACTGCCACTGCGCCTGTCTCTCAGAGACATAAGTTGACAAGTCCCATGTGCCTGTAATTTCACCAGCACCCTTACTCTTCTAAACCGGAACTGCTTGCCGACAGAAATAGGTAAGGTGGCAGCACTTCCCTGGATGAACTCTTTGCATTGTTCTACGAGTGTGCCAAAGCTGAATTGAGTGAAAAGGACAACGATCGAAGTGAGAGCGACGTGTGAAAGAGACAACATATATTTACTGCGTTCTTTCCTTATTCCCTAGTGTGACGTGTCAAGTATTGTGATAATAAAATGAGTTTGATTCCGCAACAACAGCCTACAAGTAATAAGAAATCCACTTGAAGTGAAAATCTGAGGAAACCTTTAATTTTAATGTAAATTAATAGATCAATAATAATAACACACTAGACAATCACACAAATTGGTCTCAAACTAGAGAATCCGCTATACAATGAGTACCAGAGGAATTCATTCCAAAGGCACTACTCGGAGCATTAAAATCAGACTTAATTTAGAACAATTTGTTTCCCAAACTGGACCTACTAGTAATCGAACCTGAGAAGAACAATTGAGCGCTTATAGAGCTAACCGCTGAACAATAGAGATCGCCTGCATTGTAAGTAAATGTTAACTCACTGTAATACTTTCTGTCCTTTGAATCCTTTTGATAAATGTTCTTCTACTGTGTCCATTAACGGTTTTTCTCGGATTGACACAAATGACAATACCGAACCCTACAAAACGAAAATCAAACATTATAATTATAACATTAACATGATAATTATAACACCCAGGAAGAAATTACAAGATAATAGGTAGGTATTATTACTAGATAACAATGTATGTTGCATAAAAAAATTTTTCTTAATAAAATACATTAAAAATTAATATTATCAAGGCGACAAATTAAAAATTTTTATGCACAAAAAAAGTCTAAGATATTATTTTAAATGGTGTATGAAATACCCAGTAACCTGATTATTTCCTCTAGCCGTGCGTCCAGCTCTGTGCACGTATGAGTTGACGTCGAGAGGGAAGTCGAAATTGATCACATTGGCCACATGCTGGAAATCTATGCCTCTCGACACGCCCGATTCTTTATCTTTCTTACGTTTTGATGCTTGCTGCAACATATGGTATATTAAACAATTAGAAATAGCTACAATACAAGCTATGTTATGAAACTCTCTGTTGTCAGTTTAACATTAACAGATAGTTTAACCATTATAAACTCAAAAGCAAACCTTCTTTTTCCTTTTCTTTCCAATCTCCTCATCACCCAGTAATCCCCCATCAGGATTTTCAAGCGCCTTCTCATCAGATGCTATGATTATCTGATATCGGCCTCGGTTGAATTGGTCTACAGAAATACATCTCACGGCTGCAGGGAGTTCTGAGTTAAGCACACAGGAGCTGATTTTGAACTGCTCTAGGTAAAGTTTCAATCTGAAAAATAAATTTAATTGCATTTTTTCAACTGCCTCCATGGCCAAACGGTTACCATGCCGGACTGCCACGCAGAGGTCCCAGGTTCAATTCCCGGGCTGGAAGAAATATTTGTATGCCTACATTTATTTCTCTTGTGAGTTTGGGTGTAATTTATGGTTGTCTATGTGTGTGTCCATGACACACGCAACCCAGGTTTCCCTAGTGCGGGGCTATGTTGAGTGTGTGCGTTATTATTATTATTTTAATGACACATAGACACATGCTTGGCCACAATCTCACCTGATATTAAGCGACAATGTGACCGACGATGGTACGCATTTGCCTAAAAAATGCCTATTCACTCTAGCCTTGAATAGCCCCAAATTGTACTTTTGTATATATATAATTACATATAAATTATATATAATTACAAAAAGTACAATTGTTTCCTAACTCATGTATTAAAAGTTTTGATAAAATTTTAGCCACTATCTAATATATGCTCTTTTTTTTAACACAGCTCATGTTTCAGTTATTGAATGACACAGATGGATACATCGACATAGATTGGTGTGTACAAAATTCAGGCTAAAACTCGAAAGGGTTATTCTATTGTCAAAACAAATAACTTCTGTAACATAGCTTTAGAGAATAAGTCTCTTTCCAGTTGTGACCTCATTTAAAAATATTAGTAGTAACCCTATTGCCAACAAAAATATCAAAAACAATCTACAATTGACTAATTGTGAACTTATTCATGTAATTAGTGTGCTATTTGAGTATAATAAACTAACCAAAGTTTGGAGATGAAACAAAATCATACTTAAAATACATACTTATAACACCGATCAACTGTCCGAACAAAGATAATACTCTTCCCTCTGATTAAGTTCAACTTCAACAAGGCATATAGTATAGCTGCTTTATCATCCTCTTCTGCAAACAAGTGGTAATGCTGCAACTGTGACGATGGAGCCAGTTCTGGTTCCTCCAGTTTCAATGTCACTGGATTACGGAGTACAATCTTCTTCAGACTTAAAACATCATCTGATAGTGTTGCTGATGCTAACACTGCTTGATAAATTTTTGGGAGATGACTGCAAACAATTTAATATAAGTAGGAAAATAATTTGAGGACGTTCATATTATTATGCTTATTATTATAACTTTATTCGTACCCTAATAACTCTTTAATCTCCCCTTCATAACCAAAGGAGAATATTAAATCTGCCTCGTCAACAACCAATACAGCCAAATCCTGCTTCAATCGCATGTTGCCCGCTTTTAAATGGGCCAATGCCCTTGAAGGAGTTGCAACAACAATATCTGGTTTGTCTAGGAGAAGAGCCTTTTGTGTCTGCATGTCTCCATTTGATGATATGTCTATGCAGCGGACTTCACGGGCACATTTTATTGTTAGATCTCCTATTACGGTTGTTATCTGGAACAGTATATACTAATTATTATGTGGCTGGCTGTACACGCATGAAGATTTATCTTTATAAATAGTGCCTAAATTTTATTATAATGAGCAATTGTTCACCGATTCAAAGCATTTTTCTCTCTCAATATACTTTGAGTAGTGAGAACCGATTTTTATTATCTCCTGTGTCAAGTCCCATATAGTGGCGAGCTAGGGGATGAATCCAGATTTGCGCACCTTCCAGTAACCGATTTCAATAAAACTTGGTAATTATATGTAATTCCACGTACTTTTGAGGTCGGTTTTTTAGTACTCTGTACTGATTTAATGAAAATTCATCATTGTCTTTACTACATAAATGTTGTTGAGATGCAATTTTAAACTATTATGTAGAATAGTAGGAGGAATAAAGAAACACCTGAGCAACTTACTTGACCACACAACTCCTTGCTAGGTGACAAGATCAGGGCTCTTACACACTGATGTGCACTAGTGTTCTTTAAGTTCAATAACTTCTGTATAACAGGTATTGTAAACGCAGCAGTCTTCCCTGAACCAGTTCTAGCCCTCATCAGGACATCTTTACCTTCCAAAAGTAGAGGAATAGCAGTTTCCTGGATCAACGTAGGTTCTGGCCACCCAAGCTGAGAAACAGCCTAAAATGGAATTGAAACGATTTATTTTATATTAAATACACTTAGGGAATAAGAAGCAAAGGTATTAAAATGGTTGGAGACAGATTTTAACTGCTGAAAATACCTTTAAAACGCGATCATCTAGCTCCATCTCGTGAAACATAACCTTTTTTTCTTCGCCCATGTTTACACTTCACTAACTACTTTTAAACAAAAATGTTAACTTTTGTTAGTAATAAAACTTTATTCCTTGTTTAGTTGAATTGCGCTAAATATTTTATATAATGTATTGTAGTTACAAATATTTAAATGTTTTCAAAATAAAACATGCGCCATTTCGCATTCCGCCATCTTGAAAAAAGAAAAAGACTAGAGTAGAGAGGCGTGACGAGTAATTCGCGTGTATCGATCTTTTAAGTTTAATCTTAGAGATTTATAATATTGATTAACAACATCTAACTAAATAAAACAGTAAAACCCCATTTTTAAATAAAATTATGTTATGAAATAATCAATCGAATATTTTTAAAAGAAAATTTGACAACAGGTCGCAGAAAAGTTATTTGTTGAAGACATTTATTATCAATAAAATCATTACTTGAAAATAATGTAATTGCATCACTTTGTTAAACCACGCTGCAAATCAATTTATAGAGCTGATCGGCACTACTTTGTAAGTGTTCAAAATTTCAAATATTTACATAAGTCACTCATCATACTTACAGCTTCTTTATAACATTTTAAATACAGGGTGATTTTGAAATCATTAACATCCGTTGAACCTATTAATCTACTAAGCTAAAGATATATTTAAGAGTAATTTAAATTAGCAGTACTGTAAAAATATCAATTTAAAAAACTTAAAATCTTACCGTATTAGGCAGAGTATCAAGACGCAAGCGCAAAGTAGCCGCAAGTCCTTTGGTGGCAAAAACCATCAAAAAATTAATGGATTTCGCAAAGCGTCACGCGTGATTACTACCACATCGTCACTACCAACGTGCGTTATGAATGTGAATAATGAAAGTAAATGTGGCTTTATTATTCCCAAAATATTAGTATTGACATTTTGCAATAACGAATTACAAAATTGTACTCGGAGCGCATAATCAGCCAATGCCACTTCTTGAACTATTTGGGAGTGGTACGGATGCTGGCCAATATTTAGCAGTTTCTAAACATAATACTGATTAACCTCAAAATGTCGCACAGCTGTCCGGGTGCTAGCCTGTGCATTGTCTAAAATATCGCCGTCGTTAAATAAATGCATGTTGTCATTGAAAAGTTGAATATTTAATTGAGTTTATTTGTTTTTGTTTTCTTTTTCATAAAATTTCATTATTATTTTCAGTAATAGTCTATAGCATGGTACGAGTGTAAAGTTTTTCTGATTTTCATAAGTTTATTGACAACTTTGATTTATGAATTTTTTATCCTAATGTAATACGTATCAAAAGTACAGTCTTATTTTAACCCTTAACTACATTCGTGGGGTTATTTTGTACCCTACCCGTCATTTCTTTGCTAATAACTCCGTTCCAAGTCTAACGTAGCCGTCGCGCCTTAACGTAATATCACTGCTGACTGTACTTTCACAGTGTGTGGACGCGTGTTTAGCGGCAGCCAGTATTTTCGTAGGTATGTATCATTGGAGTCAAAATTTACCCCACGAAGTCATTTACGTAACTTTTTTATCCGTCAATATACATTGTTTTTACCTGTTTTAGACAAAATGAATTGCCATTTAAACGAAAATCAAATAGGAGAAATATTGCTAGGTAGTGAAGATTCAGATTTGGAAGATACTCTGGATTTTTTTTAAATGCCATCGAATTTATTGACAGCATTCCAGAAATGTTAGATCATGTACCACCAGTGAAATACAAGTTTATGGAGACGAAGAATAGGTAGAAGGCATACAGATAAAGAAGGTTAAGACGGAGTACGACAATATGGTTACTTTTATGGAAAAAATCGTTACAAACAGCCATTATGTGCTATAATACTTATTGTCATTACTTTTATTAGAAAGTACCAGTTTTTTTTATATGTACTGAAATGATCTTTACTTGATCTTAAAATACTTGTTTTGTTGTTGTTAAGTCGATTATCTTTCTAAGATGTCAAAACTGTACTGTTTCGATAAGTACCTTAATTGTTGGTAAGATATTGCGTTAATTTTGAATAAAGAGTAATTTTCTATAAATAGAAGTTTTTTTTATATTTATTGTTCAGTAAACAAAAAGAAATAAAACATAAAACTACCTTTTTAGACGCATGTATTTTTGGGGTCAAGAACTACCCGGCAAAGTTATTAACTTTAGTCGAAATAGCGAATGTAGTTAAGGGTTAAAAGGATGCTAAAAATTTCGATTTCAACCTGTATGCCTTGTCGGTTGGATGTCTTGAAATTTGTTTCAGTTGTGGAAGTAAAAATAATTTTTGTTTTATATTAAAAAGCACCCCATGTGAATATTCCGATTGTAATGTATTTTTGAATCGATATATTTTTATTTATTTAATATTCAAAACATTTCGATCTTTTTTCATTATTGCTGCATTTTTTTAAATTTATTGCATGACTTGGATACTTACAACTGCATTACCTTTCCTAGTATTGCTATTCTAAAAAAATATACTAAAAAGATTTCAATTTGCGCACTATGATATGTCACTGCAGGAAATTACGTAGTACTTTATATAGCGCTATCTCATATTAACAATTGATCTTTCAACAAAAACCTGCCGAAGTAGAGCATCAGAAAAAAAATTAAACTATTTTTATTCGTTGGAAACCCCGATCGAATGGCCGAGTTGTTTCGTATTGCTTATTTCGTCAGTAAAAGTAATATAAACTTATTTTTAACTATTTTGAGTATCTTCTAATCGTTATTTATCAATTGCGCGTATTCATTTTCATATGTGCAAGTGTTTTTTTTTTATCCGCACCATGTTCAACCGCGAGTGCGTTACGAGTTCATTGCCTTATGTAAAACTCGAAATGGTGTTTCTTCCGTGAGTGCCCGAAATATACGGTGACTTCTGTATGATGTGCGAGTGTTGTGATCAGGGTTTGTTAAATTGAATGTTAAAATGTCTAATTCGACGGCGCAAGTGTTGATGAAGAAGGGCAAAAGGGGAGCTGCTGCATACATCCATGCTGATTGCGCTAGTGGGCCCCCACAGCACTTGGGGCCCTTGTTGGATGTGCTGCTGAACCCTAGCAAGAACATCGATGATTGGGAGACGATCGACTGGTGCCGGTGGCTGATAGCTGGTGGCCGCACGCCAGACGAGTTTGCGACAGTTGGTGAGTTGAAACACATAACTGTACTCTTGAGTTTGAACAGGTCAGCGCTTTCTAGGTTATAAACCGTGATGGTGTTCGTCTGTGCAGTTTTATCGTTATTGTCGTTGTCCAAAACGCGGTATCGAAGAGGAACACCTTGTGAGGTCGCATGACCTTCTATTGTCTTAATGACACACATAGGTTTGTTTACGGAAAAATAATCTCCATCTCATCCCATTATGATTATCCTTTTATGGGGTTCCTCATTTGTTTTGACCTGTTATTATTGAGCATTGTGCTATAGGTGAGTCTGTAAAGGAATTGCCATTATAGTGCAACCATTTCTGCCTAATGTAAATAAAAAAAAAATTTCTGATCTAAATAACGTATATTTGTTTTATAAATTCAACAAAAGTTTCGTGTTCTTTACATGTCGTATAGTCACAGATGACTGAAAAAAAAAACAATATAAATATACAATTTAGGGCTGAAAAAATGTTACCTTTTGAATGTGTAACAACCATGAAAACCTGACAACTTGATTGATTCTTGCCTAGTTAAAATAATAATAACTGTTTATTTCAGTCTAGACCACAGTAAGAAAATACAATTCATAATAAAACATCTAATAACTTTAAAAAAAAAATCATTGAAAATGTCACACAAAAAATAAGTCAAATTTACAAAAATAATAATAATAATATAATAAAATAAAAAAAAGGTTAATTCATGTCAAGCTCACCCTACATGGCAGTTATGATGAGATAGGACTTAGGAAATGAAACTATTTTTCTGGATTTAAATCGCATATATTTGTTTTTTCGAACAAACCAACGTTTTGGGCCCTTTACAGGTCCCACAATCACAGTAGACTCACTGGTCAGTCAACCATGACCATGGGACCGAAACATTGGTTTGTTTGAAAAACAAATATACATGATTTAAAGCTGGAAAAATAGTTTCATTACCTATGTATAACAATCACGAAAACCTAAGAACTCTAGGTAGGACTTATTCATTATTGGACAAGTACAATTGCAATAAGACTATTCCACATTCTTAGAACCCAATTCAATTACCTGTCAATAATAATATTCCAAACATGTCTTTGTCAGTCTTACCTTACATCCTAACATCTCGAGTGATAAGATAGCTGTATTATTTAAAGATTTATTATAACATCATCAAAATTCCCTATTATCTCTGTTGTACCATGAACTTGATATCACTCTTATAGTTTCTTTCTTGATGCATAGCTTTAGTTATACAAAACATTAACAGGTTGTTTGAAACTGTTTGACAGTTGTTTAGATATGATGGATTTTTATATTCATGTACTGATACGTAATAATTAAATTATACAAGAAATAGTGCTTAAATATTATTATTAATTATTTTGCTATTTGATAGTTATTTTTATCGTCAATGTCTATTTTATAGAAACGACACGTAATTACTTTGGTAAAATTTAGAGCATGATAGTCTAAAAAATGTATCAATGCATCAAAAATATAACAAACAATGTAATTAAACAAACTTTATTGTATACACCTAAGAGTGACACAGTATGGTAAATAACCTGAAAAACGTCTCAGCCTAAGCCGGTTTTCAAACCTTACCCTTATTGTGATTTTGGTGACCAAAACAGGCAACCATAGATGTTCATAGAAAGAAAGAAACCTGTTTATTGCACAAGCACGGACATGCACATCAACAAAACAACGGAGGAACAATAATAATAACAAAAAAAAAAAAAAACAATTGACACAATTATGCAGTAGGCACCTTATTCACCGTCATTTGTTTCGCGACTGGTGCAATCTGGACTTGCTCAGTTTTAGCCACAAACAGTAGACAATTATTATTGCGATGGACGATTTGTACATGCAAAACTGTTCACAAATTTCATAGGGTACAATGTACCAGTAAACGAAAGGGAAACCTATAGATATCTACAGCATCATCCACTACACATCCACTGATGGTCTCAACCCCCAATTGTAATTTGCTGCACAGACCTTGAATAAGCCACTGTAATAATAATGAAAATCTACATTTTACTTCTCAGAATATATATACATTGTGAAGTTAGCAATATGTAACAATGGCTTACTGTGACGTATTTCTGAAAGTGCTAGAAATATTGAAAACTAACAAATATATGTATATGACTAATATGTACTATGTGCTTGCAAAGTAATCTGTATTGTAAATATGCTTTATAATGCTCAGGTAGGTGTAATCGTACTATTGAAGTGGTGTGATTCATACAAGGCTATGCAACATCTGTTGACATTGGAGTAAATGTGGGCAAAGGTGGACATTGCTATATTTGACTATGTAATATTTTTATCATATTTGTACAGGAGTGAAGGTAATAAGAACAGAAAAAACACTTAAATGCCACTTAACAGAGAGACATAACTTAAAATTGGAATATTTTAAATAGTGGTCTGGTGTTATGGTGTAACCAATTGGTTTCTATAACTTGACATCATAATGCCTATTTTATATAATATGGGTGTATATTATTTTGATAGGTAAAGGACATGAAGTGTATGTATTTATAATGACCATATTATTAAGTACAATATTTCTTTTAGTGATATACCATGATATTCGTCTATTTTTTGTGAAAATGCTCCACTAGAAGTAGCAAAGGATAGAGTTAAACGGTGGGAGTTGGAGAAAGCCTATACCCAACGAGGGGTCCTTAATCTAAAATATTAATAAATATAAAAAAATATTACATATGAGATATAAAAAAAAATATTTTAAAATGGAAGTAATATTATATAATGAATCTAAATCAACATTGTATTGTATTAAACGTCAATGATATTTAAAATTGAATTTACTGAAAACTATGTTAATTAAGGAACAATAAAAAGGTCTATATAATAAAAAGTTTATTGTCATATTCAGTCAGGTAAAAGGAATTTTTCTTTGTGTTGTTTGATATTTTTATCAGTAATAAATATTATAGTTTTAAAAGTTCAAGTTTTTTTATTTATGTTTCATAGGCATGACGTGTCTGTAGCTTCTACCGTAAGATATCAAATTTCATTAAAATATTAGGGTATTTGCATTTAAACTAAGTTTTTTTTATTTTATTACTTCATGGTAATCATACTTTAAGTTAAATAGTAGTTTTTTTTGTCTATTGCATATAGATTCCTACTAAATAAATGTAAGTCTTGAACATGTATACTAATATATTAGTATACATGTCCTGACAGATAAATAGTTCATCTTTTGGTCTATTAGCTCCATCACCGTTGTTAATTGTTAACACTCATATTGCGAAAACATATAATTAGTACTAAATCTCTCAACAACAGCCGTCAATCATAACAAGCTATGAGCGTACTGCAAAATGCAATAGCTATAACATAATTCAGTTTCTGTTATCCGATTTATTAACATTCCATCACACGTGTGTTGCGTGTTATATCAATACTGAACATGGTTTAGTTGCATTTTCATTACTAGACCAGAGCCGGAACAAATTATATTATGTGCGCTTTGATTTTTATTATTATGATGGTTTATTCAGGGCCTATGCAGCAGCATCATTGCAGTCAGTTGTTTTGCAACCTGTAGGATTTACTTCTTCTGCGAGAAATGAGAATTGAATGAAGCATGGAAATAAATGTATGCCTATTAATGGGCAACATTGTCATAAGAGAGGTTGTGTCATCTCATCCGTTTCTTGACAGAATCTGCAATCTCTGCTCTTACTTGTGATTTTTCTAACCAGCATCCTATGTGAGTCATAGAAAGCATATTTAGGTTATTTATGCGTGACGCCTGAGCACCTCTTCAGTTTTTCGTGCTGTAGTCATAGGACTTGTGGTCATTCATTTGTAACCATGCTTTGTTCCCACTGATGGGTTTAGCTGTCGAATCCCTTAATAAAAGTGTCACTTTGTGTGACGGTATCTTACTTACTAGTATATGTACAAGTTTAGTTTAAGATTTGAATCTTGAAGTAAACGGACCAAAGTAAAATTTTGTGTAGACATTAAAGAAATTACATTGAATATGGTTGGCATTTTACCATCTAAGTTTACGGAAATATGTAAATGTTTTTATCTTGTCCCTTTTTTAGATTGTCATTGTATATAATGCCTCTCTTTTTATCCAACTGTACATAGTCACACTGATGTGAAAGTGTCTTTTTGAACAAAAACATTGTTTAAAACGATGGAGCCATTATAAATAAATCCAAATACACTTGTTGTTGTTATTATATACAGGTAAATAAATACAGGAAGTTACACTTAGCTAATTTAACACTTTAAACGCTGTCCGCATGTTACGACTTCTGACTGCTGAATGACTTCATTAGTTATAAATATTAAAGTTAAATTAGTAGGTATTTAGTATTTGCCAAAGAAAATTTAAATAAACAAAGTACACATCACTTGAATATGCAATCTCGCGATCCAATGCAGACACCTTGACCTGGATGGGCGATTCTAGAAGGGTCAAGATGCTGAAGACACTTCGTGGTCACAAGGTCAGATACAAATGATGCAGTATGACTTATTTATTATTTTATTACTAATAATTCTCTAACACGTAGTTATTCATTTATACATTTATACATTATTCAGTTTCAGAACTTCAAACATGTAATAATGGGTATAGGAAAGCACTGTATTTGACATATCACTCTGAACATCATAGTCATTATAAAGTTAGGCCCTACCACAGGATACCAGTTTCGACATATGATCATAAATGTATGTAAGTTACAAAATTTGTACTAAAAAATGTTAACACATCACTCAAAATCAGGTATTAAGTTTTGATGTAAATAATATCAATAATAATAAAGTACCAGTCAACAAAACCAAATTTTTCTAGTCTTAGCTTAGGAATTCCCTGTACTATGAGTACTAAAGAAACTGAATTCACTCTGGGGCACTATCGAGTAGGGCTATCATGACTGGAGATGGGCGTCTCGCAAACTTTTTTTTTTATAAAAAAGTTAGTTCGCATTTGACCTCCATCTC